GGCTGGCGCTGACGGCGCACGGGGGATGCCTGGCGAGTCCGGCCTGAAGGTAAGAGCCCCGTTTCCACGAGGGAGGAGGACTCGAACTCGGCTCTCCCAGTCCCGACGACAACGCTGGCCAAGCGCTGCGGGGTTCCCTACTCTCACCTCCCTCACTGGGGGGCCAGCTTCCCTGGGGGGACCCCCCCACTTTCTCGGTTGCCCCACCCTGCTGCGGGATTGTGGGGAACACCCCCTCATGCCCCACGCCCAGCTTCTCTGCTGCTCCTAGTCTCCCCCCCTTGCAAACAGGGGCAGGTCACCTTGTGGCCCCTGTAGGGGTCCCTAGGGGCCTCTGAGCCCCCCCCACTGTTGCCCCCCCTCTTTCTCACGCAATTCTCCTTCAGGGCGACCGGGGTTTCGACGGGCTGCCCGGCCTTCCCGGGGACAAAGGATACCGGGTGAGTGGGATGGGGGAGAGGGAGGGGGTCCCTGTGGGGGGCACATGCCAGGCTTGTCCTGGATGGGGGGTCCCCTGCTTTCTTGGCGGCCCCCCCAATTCTGCTGCTTCCCTCCTTGGCAGGGGGACCCCGGTGCGCAAGGCGTGGCTGGACCTCCGGGCGAAGACGGCGAGAGGGTAAGGCCTGCGCGGACAGGAGGGGAAGAGTGGAGGGCCGAGGAGACAGCCCTCCCCGTGAATCTTCCCCCACCTTGAGGACTAGCAACTTGAGCTTGAATACGGACCCCCCCAGGGAGGTCCTCGAGGGCCAGGCTGGGGGTTTCTGCCAGGGGGTTTCCATCGGCCTCTATAAACAGAAAAGGGGAGGAGGGGGGGGCATAAAAACGCAAGCCGGTTTTCCCCCTCGCGAACGTTCTCCCCTTTCCCGCACTGCAGGGAGACGATGGTGAGATCGGGCCTCGGGGCCTCTCCGGAGAATCGGTACGTAGCATCCCCAGCCTGGGGGGGGGGTGGTGGAAAATCAGGCCTGTTTGGGGAAGGGCATTTTAAAGGACCCCATCGCTCGGGTCCTTGGGGGTCCCCAGAGGCGAAAATCGGGGAAGAGGGTCGCGGTCAGCCCCCGAGGCTCCGCTTTGGCCTTCTCCCGCCCATCCCGCCTTCTCTTCGCAGGGACCAAGAGGCTTGCTGGGCCCCAAAGGGCCCCCAGGCGTCCCGGGGCCACAGGTAAGTGCTGGGGAGGGACACCCCCCTACCCCCACCCTCCCCCACCCTCGGGGCTTCCGCTGACCACCGACTCTGGCCTACCTTTCCCTCGGCAGGGCGTGCGTGGCGTGGACGGCCCCCACGGACCGAAGGGGAGTCTGGTAAGTGGACGGAGGCCTCGTCTGGACCGGAGGCAAAGCAGCAGCCCTGGTGGTTTTTAGAGGGTTGGCGCGATGAGGGGCTTCTGAGCGTGCGCAGAGTGCCTTTCCCACCAGCCTTCCCCGGCAGCCTCGGAGAGAGGCCTTGGGATCCCGAAACGGGCCCTCTGGGGAGGAGGCAGCCGGAGAGGGCGGAGAAGTCCGCATGACACTCGGCCTAGGGCCCCTTGGTGGCAGGTTGGTGGCACATGGGCAGTTGTAGTCCTATAAAGGTTGCCCGGGATGATGGGAGCTGCAGTCCAGGACTCTAGAGAAGGTGAAGTTTGCGGACAGGGATTATTAGACGGAGGTTAGAGAGGGTGGCGCAAGAGTGGATTCCAAGCCAGGCCAGGGGTCGGGCTGGATGATCTCCAGTTACCTGGACCGATTGGGGAAGGTGAAATGGCTCCCGGGAGGCCACCAGGAGATCCGAAACGTCCCCCAAACAGGCCTTCATTGAGAGCCTGTTGGGGAAACGTCGAGGGCACGTCCGAGGGTCTGTCTTGATCTAACCCCTGCCCCCCGTTTGTCTATCTCCAGGGTCCACAAGGGGAGCCGGGGCCCCCCGGCCATCAGGGGACCCCAGGGACACAGGTAAGTCCAACCTGGGTGGAGGAAGACCGCCCTGGCCTGCCCTCCCCATTGCTTCCCAGCTGCAGGGCTCTCTGGGGGGGGGCTGGCTGTGCTTAGATTCCCCTCCCCTCCTCCGGTCCGCCTCCCTAACAACAGCCCTGTGGGGTAGGCAGGTTGGGGGGGGGAGGACGTTGGCTGCAGCTTTTCTGCAGTCGAGGCAAACTCTTGAGTCCCTCTTTTGTTCCGGTTCGGCTCTCTGGGTGATCCGAAGCCTCTTGGGCTCCCCCCAAAAACCGCAGGCCTCCGGGGAGGAGGAGGGGGGAGAGGTGGGGGAGGGATCTGGGCGGGGCTTTGGCCTCCAGGAACCGCCTCTCACCCCATCTTCCCTTCCCTGCTTCCAGGGCTTGCCGGGACCGCAAGGCGCCATGGGGCCCTCTGGGCAAAAGGTGAGGAGGGGGCGGCTGGAGGGGGAGTGGGGGGGGTGGGGCTCTCTGGAGCCAGAGCCCAGGGAGGGGAGGGGCCTCCTGGCCTTCTGGGTCCAACGGGGTCTCCCCGCTCTTTTGCAGGGACCCCAAGGGAAACCCGGACTTCCTGGCATGCCTGGCTCGGACGGACCCCCGGTGAGTACCCCCATCCTCCATCCGTGGCCTTTTGGGGAGGGGGCCGACCCCATCCGACCCTCCCGAGCCTCAACCCTGGATCCGGGGGGCCGAAGATCCACCCTGGGGCAGAGTGGCCTCTGTTCCCCGGGGAGGGCTCCCCGAGATGGTGGGGACCCCCTGACACCCCCCCCGCCTTCTTCTCCCTGCAGGGCCACCCAGGCAAAGAGGGACTTCCGGGCACCAAAGGGCAGCCGGTGAGTGGACAGGCCAGCCTCTCCAAGCCGTCCTCGGGTGGGTGGGTGGGCTTTGGGGCCCGGGTGCGAATGGCGGGGCAGGAAAAGGAGCGCTCCGAGGCTGCTGGGGGGCCCCCATCCTGGCATGTGGCACCATGAAGGGAAGCCTCCCTGGGCATCTGATGGAGGGGGGGGAAAGCAGCGGGGGGGAGGTTGTGGAGGGAGGGGGGTCTTAGNGAGGGGAGGGGAGAGGAGAGGGGAGGAGGAAGGGATTGAGAGGGTCTCCCTTCCCCGGGGCCATTTAAAAGCTTTAAGGGCCCCGTTGTTATTTTTTTAAACCATTTATTCATTTTTGATTGATTGATTGATCGATCGATCGATTGATTGCCCATCTCATTCGGGGACCCTGGGAGGCATACATCGTATAACTGGGGGGGTGGGGGAGCTGAGAAAGCCTTGCAAGGTGGGTGGGGGGACGGGGAGGGGCCCTAGCCAGACCCCTATCTCATTCGGTTGAGGCCTTTTCCATGAGTCCCCTTTGGGAAGTGCAGTTCCCCTTTTCAGCCACCGGGGGGTGGAAAAAGAGCGTGAAGCAGCCACCCGCTTCCTCAATTCTCCAGCAGGGGGCAGACCTGAACAACTCCTACAATGACATCAGGGGTAGGCAACCTCGGCTCTTTTATGGCTCACGGACTTCAACTCCCAGAATTCCTGAGTCAGCTGTGCTGACTCAGGAATTCTGGGAGTTGAAGTCCGTGAGCCATAAAAGAGCCGAGGTTGCCTACCCCTGTCCTACATCATTACGCCCAGGAAGGGCAGGGCAGGTTTCCTGCTCTGGAGATGGTGTGTATGTGTCTTTGTGTGTGTGTGTGTGTGTGTGTGTGTGTTGCCAGGAAACAGGGAGGCAAAATTCTGGGGGGTGGGAGAGAATGAGATGGTAACTCTGCCTCCGTGCGGGCCTGATCCTGCCTCTCGCCTCCCTCCTCACAGGGCCCCTCCGGCCCCCAAGGACTAGTGGGCTACCCGGGTCCCCGCGGAGGAAAGGTGAGTCTGCGCTGCGACCTCCCCCTGGGAATTTGAGGGGGGGTGGACTCAGGAGGAGGGTGGGGCGGGAGGGGTATCATCTTGGGTTCCCCCTCTCCCCCCCCCGGGGCCTTGGAGGTGAGCAGGAAAGGCCTCCAAGAGGGGGGGGACAGAAGATGAGGAGGGGCTGAGCTCCGCAGAATGGAGGAGGGGGGCTGGGAGCAGGGAGAGCTCCGGAGGGAGAAGGGGGGGGTGAGGGACTGAAGCGGTCTCAGGAGCCCACCGGGACCACCAGGACATCACCCCCCCAGCCCAGAAAAGGGGCCCCCTCTCTGCACATCCGGTGCATCATGTTGTTCGTGCCCACGAGGAGAACTTTATCCCTCGTCCTGGGGTTGCTGCTGGGAAGCATGGGGCTTGTGGTCCGGCCCACGTCGGTGACTCCGTGTTCCCCCTCAGGGTACTGACGGCGTCCGTGGCTTGAAAGGGCAAAAGGGCGAAAAGGTGAGCTTCCCCTTTTTATTTAAGGCTCTGTTCCCCCCCCCACCTTCCCCGAGCCAGACCCACTTCACTTGCATCCTCACGACAGCCCTGTGAGGTGGGCTGGGCAGGAATAGAGGGGAGACAGGCCCGGCGTTTCCTAGCGATTTCTGTGCTGAGGTGGATTGGAATTTGAGTCCCCCCGTGTCTGATCCCTGATGGCTGCATTATGGATCCCCCCCAAGGATGTAACTGTCCCCCCGTGACACAGCCAGGGCCGCTTGAGGTCATCCGGTCCACCCTCCCTTGCTCAGATTCTGTTTTCCTGCCTCCTGCAGCTGTGGCCGATGGCCTTCATGCCCTGAAGGCAGGGGAGACATTCAAGGGTTACAGCAGGGCCTCCCCTCTTTTGCAACCCGGCTCCTTCTTGGGTTACCCCTTCGTCCTCAGAGGAGGCACATCCTTGGGGGACCGGGTGCTTTCATGTGGGGTGCCCCATTTTCCCCCCCTTGCTCTGAACTGCCCCTGCTATGAATCACCATGAAGGTCCCCAGTGCTGAGTCCTTCCTCTCTGCTAACCCCCCATCAGAGGGGGAAGCAGGGGGGGTCTGAGCGTGGGGGGTCAATTCAAAGCCCCCCTAAGGATCCCCTTTTCCTTCTGCTGTACGATTCTGCCTCTGAGCTGGCAGTTGGGGGTTCATATGTCGTGGGGTGGCTTGTTTTAGGGTCCAACTTTTCCATTCCCTCTCCCTATTTCTGAATGGTGCCCTCCTGCCCCCTTTTGTTCTTGTAGGGTGAAGAAGGGTTCCTGGGCATCAAGGGTGACGTGGGCCCAAAAGGCGACAGGGTAAGTGGGGTAATGTTCATCCGTGGATGAAAAACCTAAAGGGGAAAAACAACTCAAGAAGTGTGGGCAACTCTGAAAAATGCGATTATAAAAGCCCAGTACAGTCCAATACCATTGAAAAAGAAAAACAAGAAATCCAAGAAGAAACCAGCACAGCTGCACAACATTCTCTCTGATAAACTCAAACACAAAAAGGATAAATGGACAAAAAATGGAAAGAGGGACACATAACTCAGGCAGAGTATCAGCAGATAGCCCGAATCTGCAAATACGGAAAGCAAAGGCTCAGAATGAACAAAGACTTGCAACAAAAGCCAAAGATCATTTTTAAAAAGTTTCTTTTAACGTATGAAAAACAAGAAAAAAGCCAAGGAAACTGTAGGCCCACTAAAGAGAGAAGATGGCAAGGAAATTACAGACAACAGGGAGAAAGCAGAGCTGCTTAACTCATACTTTACATCAGTCTTCACACACAAGAAATCGTAGCTTAACACACCAAAAAAAAAAACCCACTGCAAAAGACACACTAGAAACAAAAATTAAAATAAGCAGGAAAATGGTAGGAGAACATCTATCCGACCCTGACGACTATAAATCACCGGGACCCGACAGATTACACCCCAGAGGAGAAAAAACAAACGGACCCAGGAAACTACAGACCAATCAGTTTAACATCAATACCTGGGAAGATCCTAGAAAAGATAATCAAAAAACAGATCTGCGAACAACTAGAAGCAAAGTCATAACTACACAGCCAGCACGGATTTGTCGAAAACAGATCATGCCAAACCAATCTTATTTCATTCTTCGATAAAGTGACTAAACTAGTAGACCAGCGAAACACAGTGGACGTAGGCATTTGACAAAGTAGACCACAATCTACTGATTGGTAAGCTGGAAAAAAGGTAGAATAGACAACATCACCACCAAATGGATCTGTAGCTGGCTGACAAGCCTTACTCAAGGAGTAGCCCTCAGTGGCCCCACATCCGCATGGAGGGAAGGGAGCAGTGGGGAACCACAAGGCTCCGTCTTAGGCCCCGCAAACTCTTCAACATCTTCATAAATGACTCAGATGAAGGAATTGAAGGGAAACTCGTCAAATTTGCAGATGACACTAAACTGGCAGGAGTAGCCAACACCCCAGAAGACAAACTCAGGACCCAAAAAGATCTTGAGAAACTCATACAGTGGGCCCTATCCAACAACATGTGTTTCAATGTGGAGAAAAGGAAAGTCTTACATTTAGACAAGAAAAACCAAAGGTACGAGTACAGACTGGGCGAAACCTGGGTCAAAAACAGCCACCGTGAGAGGGACCTTGGAGTCCTAGTGGACGATCCCTTGACCGTGAGCCAGCCGTGTGCAGCAGCAGCAGCAGCCAAAAAAGCTAACGCAGTCCTGGGTTGTATAAACAGAGGCCTAGAATCCAGATCATGCAAAATATTAGTACCGCTTTATAAAAGCCCTAGTAAGACCACACCTGGAGCACTGCAGCCAATTTTGGTCACCATATCATAAAAAGGATGTTGAGAGTTTGGAACAAATTCAGAGAAGAGCAACTTAAGAGGATCCAAGGCCTGGAGGCTAAAACATAGGAAGAACGGCTGCAGGAATTTGGTTTGGCCAGTCTAGAGAAAACAAGAAGTAGGAGAGACATGATAGCAGCGTTCCAGTATCTGGGGGGCTGCCACAAAGAAGAGGAGGGGGGTCACGTTATTCTCCAAAGCGCCTGAAGGCAGGACGAGAAACAACGGCTGGAAACTGACCAAAGAGAGAAGTAACCTGGAATTAAGGGGAAAGTTCCTAAAAGTGAGAACAAATAACAATTAACCAGTGGAACAGCCTGCCACTGGAGGCTCTAAAGAAGAGACTGGAAAACCATTTGTCCAGACTGCTTTAGTGAATCCTGCCTGAGCAGGGGGTTGGACTAGAAAACCTGCCTGAGCAGGGGGTTGGACTAGATGACCTCCAAAGCCCCTTCCAACTTTTTATTTTTATTATTTTTATTATTTTTATTATTTTTTTATTATTTTTATTATTATATTATTATTATTGTTGTTTTTATTTTTATTGTTATTATTGTTATTGTTATTATTACCTCCAAGGTCCCTTCCAGCTCTATTCTGATTGATTGAATGATTGATTGATTGATTGATTGATTGATTGGGTCCCTTCCAACTTTTTATTTTTATTATTTTTATTATTTTTATTATTTTTATTATTTTATTTTTTGTTATTGTTATTGTTATTATTGTTATTATTACCTCCAAGGTCCCTTCCAGCTCTATTCTGATTGATTGATTGAGTGATTGATTGATTGACTGATTGACTGATTGATTGATTGAAGTTCTCCCAGAGGCGGGAGATGACCCTCTGCCTTCTCTGTGCAGGGCGAGCTGGGGGTCCCAGGGTCCCGTGGAGAAGACGGGCCCGAAGGCACCAAGGGGCGGACGGGCCCCTCTGGCGATCTGGGTCCTTCCGGATTGGTGGGAGAGAAGGTGGGTATTGGGGCTGGTGGGGGGGGCTTTGGAGTTGGACCCACCCCCACCCTCCCCTCCTCCGTTGACCCCCTTTCTTTCTCTCCCTCCTGCCAGGGCAAACTGGGGGTGCCGGGTCTCCCCGGATATCCTGGCCGACAAGGCCTCAAGGTGAGTAGAAGCCGGACGAGTGGGGCCCTGGGGGGGGGAAGAAGGGACCGTGGGGTGGGAGGGAAACCTGGGGCTCCCCGTTGGGGGTTCAAGCAGCCGAGTGACCTGGGGGGGTTGCTGGTCCCCCGAGCACATCTAGGTTGGGGTCTCAAGGGGGCCTGGCTGGAGAGAAGCTGACAGGGGGTCCCCGTGTGACGTGCCCCAGTGAAGCCCCTGCAGTTCTTCGCCCAAGATGGCGCCCCTCCCCTCCCCACATTCGTGACCCCCCCTCCTTCTTCCCTCCGCAGGGTTCGCAAGGGTTCCCCGGCTTTCCTGGATCGAATGGCGAAAAGGGGGTTCGGGTAAGTAGCACCCCTTCTCCGGCCCATCCGGGGCCCCTCCAGAGGCCTGGGGGGGCCCTTCAATGGAGGCAAGAATAGGGTCCGAGCCCCCGTGGGGAAAAGATGGGGTGCAGAGGATGCCCCCCATCCCAGAATCCCTCAATATCCCCCCCCTATTCTATCCCTTTTATTCTGCACAATGTCCTGTTGCGGGTTGCACAAACGTCCAGCTGTTTGTGTTAAAGCTTGCAACCACAGAAACGGCCTTGGAGCCGTTGGGCCCCTGCAAAGCCTCCCTGGGACGCTTTCCCCAAGAACTCTGCACGCGCTCAGGGGCAGGAAAGGGGGCCCTTGTGTGGCATCAGAAAGGAAGACTTTGCTTCGTGTTAATGGAGCTGTGTTTGGGGCATCCGTCTGTGGCCCCCCCGGAATAGCTCCCCCCAGGATGTTTGGGGGCACAGAGGTGCAGGGTTGGGGGGGCTTATTGTGGGGTGGGGGCTGCTTCCTAAACCGGCCTTTGCTCCTTCCTCCCCCCCTGCAGGGCCTCTCTGGGAAAATGGGACCACGAGGCGAACGAGGACCCTCCGTGAGTCAAAGGGAGCGGATTGCACTTTTGGGGAGGGGGTCTGGCAGGGGATTTGCCCCCGCTTTCCCGCCCGTTTCCGGTGCCAAGTGCGAACGAAGGGGGGGCTTTGTCTGGGGGCCACTGGTCGCCTGCTGGCGGCTCTGAAGGTGTGGGTGGCGGTGGGGTGACCCCCGGGACGCAGGGCCGTGGCCCCTGGTCGGACGCACCCTCTCTCTCTCTTTCAGGGCCCCAGAGGACAGCGGGGGCCACGAGGAGCCACGGGGAAGATGGGAGCCAAGGTGAGCCTGGTCAGCTGGGCTGGGGGGGCAGGGGTGGGGCAGAGGGAGCCCCAGAGATGTGGGGCTGGGGGGGGTCAAAGGCACCCCGGCTGAGCCTGACCCTCCTCTTGGTTTGGGCAAGCGTTGTGCTGGGGTGCCAAGGGCAGGCTCCACTCAGAAATCCAGAGGTAGACTGCTCCTGCATCTGGAGGATCCATTTTCGGCAGGAAGGGAGGGAGGAGGGGGGAAAGTCGATAAATTTTCAGGCCAGAAAAACCTGCAAGAAAAATCTGGAGGAGAACGGAAGACGATTACACATCTCGCTTGTGCATTTGCCCTCGTGTGTGTCCATGTGTGTGTGTGTGTGTGTGTGTGTGTGTGTGTGGTAGACCAGCGGTGTTTACACAAACAAATCTCGGTGTACGGAAACCGCAAGGTCTGGATTATGCCCGCGTGCAGATGGGTGCATCTTCTTCCTGGCGCCGCACCCACCTCGGCCGCCGCCGTCGCACAACTCAGCCGAGAGTCCGGCAGCCTTCGGGCACAGATTTTAACACTTAGTGTTGGTGCAAATCCCCTCCTGTGTGTTACGTCAACGCAAAGAAGCCAGAGAAGGAAGCTCAGGGGTCCGGTGGGCTGACCCCCCTCTCTTTTCTCCCCCCCTCCAGGGCACCTCTGCTGGGGAAGGGCCCTCGGGGCCCCCCGGAGAACGGGTAAGCCGGGATCCCGAAGCTGGTGATTTGGCCGGGCGCTTGGCAGAAGGATAGGTCCCCTCGCCCTCGGTACCCTGCCGTGGGGGGCTCCTGGCTGGAGGCTGCTGGGGGGGAGGAGGGGAGGGAGGGAGGGGGAGACAGGCAGGTCGGGGGTCCCTCTGCAAGAAGCTAAGTGGGCTCAAGAGCCACAGAGACCATATTCCTGAGCACCATGGCTGTCTGGAGGTGGTATGTTCCGGTTTGGGTCCAGCTTTGAGGGGGGAGGGCACCCTGGCATGACCCCTAATGGGGGGCTCTCCTCCTCCTCCTCCTCCTCCTGCAGGGTCAACCAGGACCGCAAGGCCCGAACGGATTCCCCGGACCGAAGGGACCCCCGGTGAGTCACAACCCCCCCGCCTCCTCTGTCCCCCCCCTCACTGTCTCCTCCCCCCCAATTGCTAACTCTGCCCCCTTTCTTTGTCCACAGGGCCCCCCCGGGAAGGATGGGATGCCCGGCCACCCGGGGCAGCGTGGAGAAGTGGTGAGTGACGGCTCTGCCCCCCCCAGCCAGCTGTTTCTCCCCCCCCGTGAGATGACGTGGGGCTCAGATTAATAATAATAATGATAAAGTTGGAAGGGACCTTGGAGGTCGTCTAGTCCAACCCCCTGCTCAGGCAGGATTAGCCCCGGGGAGCATCTCCCCAAAACCCCGGCCCCGAGAAAGTGGTGGGGGCCCTTCAACATTTCAGAATTTGCATTTTCTTCACCTTTTTTTATTTAAAAAAAAGTATTTTAAATTTGGAAACATTGAGATCCAATTTGTAGATGTACGTCTGAATCCAACCTTGGAGATTTAACGTCGTAATTGTGTGTTTTGTTTTTTTTAAATTTAAAAGAACAACAACAAATTTCCTGGAGATTTTTTTTTCCAGAACTCCTTTTGAACTCAAGCCTGCCCACCTCAAAGGGTTGGTTTTGTGTGTGTGTGTGTGTGTGTGTGTGTGTGTGTGTGTGAAACTAGGAAGAAGAATAAGCATTTCGGCCGTACTGAACGAAAGTGAGATAGAAATGGAAAAAATTGGACTAGATGACCTCCAAGATCCCTTCCAACTTTTTTTATTATTATTACTATTATTATTACTATTATTATTATTATTAGTAGTAGTAGTAATTATTATTATTATTATTATTATTATTATTAAAATCAAAATCAAATTTCTAACGGGGGTGGGGGGGAGAAAGGATGCCCTCGGCTGCAGAATACGGGGAGGGGAAAAGAGAGGGAGGCACTCTGCACGTGCTCGAGGGACCTCTTCTTCCCCCACGGGCCCCCTACGCTCCCTAGCAGAGAAGACTCGGGTTTCGCTTCGGGAGGGTTCCGGGTGCGAATTCCGCCCTTTCCTGGGCTAGGCTGGGGCAAAGGCTGCCGAGCCCGACAGACTCAGCCCTGGTTTATATGAGGGGGGGGGTGTTTGACGCTGCCCCCCCCCAGTAATCCTCCCCGCCACCCTCTTTTGCCTTCCAGGGGCTGCAAGGCAAGGCTGGCTCCCCAGGCGGGCCCGGCATCGTGGGGCCACAGGTAACGGCTGCCCCCCCAGAAACGGGGTGGGAGTGGGAGGGGAGGGGGGGTGCTGGGGAAGGGAGGGGGTGCTGGGGAGGGGAGGGACCACAGCGGCGGCCCTTCAAACACGTCCCCCCCGGTTGCTTTTTTCCACACAGGGCCCCGCGGGGGAGACGGGCCAGATGGGGGAGAGGGGCCACTCCGGCCCCCCCGGACCACCAGGAGAACAAGGGCTGTCGGGGCCCTCCGGGAAAGAAGGGACCAAGGTAGGCCAGGGGGGCCGACCCCCTCCGCCCCCTCCCCTCCCTTGCAGTGGCCCCTACGGAGGGGGGGTCTTTTGCGGCTGTCCCTCGTGCACTGGGCCCTCCCCACGAGGGGGCACTTGGCTGTGCAAAGAATCAGAGGGGGGGAACGGGGCTTTTCCTCAGCTGGGGGGGCTCCTGGGGGGACACTGTGGGGCTCCATATGTGTGTGTGTCTTTCAGGGCGACCCAGGAACCGTCGGAGGGCCCGGGAAGGATGGACCCCCAGGGCTGCGGGGCTTCCCCGGAGAGCGCGGCCTTCCCGGCACGGCTGTAAGTGCCCCCCACCCCCCCCTCTCTGAGGGGACAGCGGGGGGGGGGGGAAGCACGGCCCCTCCCCGCAAGAGGGGTCTGCCTGGGGAGGGAGCAGGAATAGGAAGTCCCCCCCCTCTCTTCATTTTCTTTCTCTCTCTCTCTCTCTCTTTTCATTCTTTCTCTCTCTCACTCGCTTTTCGTCCTCTCTGTTTTGTCCACACTCTTTCTCTCTGTTTCTGTCTCTTTCTGTCTCTCTCTGTCTTTTTCTTTCTCTCTCTTCATTCTTTTTCTTTTTCTCTCTTTTCATTCTTTCTCTCACTCTCTCACTCTCTCTCTCTTCCTCTATTTTTGTCCACACTCTCTTTCTCTCTCTCTGTCTCTTTCTCTCTCTCTCTCCTTCTTCTGTCTTTCTCCCTCCCTCTCTCTCTCTCTCTTCCTCTTCTCTATTTTTGTCCAGACTGTCTCTCTCTCTCTCTCTTTTCATTCTTTTTCTCTTTCTCTCTTTTCATTTTCTCTCTCTCACTCTCTCTCCCTCCTCTATTTTTGTCCACACTGCCTCTCTTTCTCTCTTTCTGTCTCTCCTTCCTCTCTGTCTTCGTCCCAGTTTTTCTCTCTTTCTCTTTCTCTCTGTCTCTCTCTCTTTCTCCCTCCCTCT